TTGTCACATACTCGACCAGACATTGCTTATGCGGTGAGCGTTGTCTGTCAATTTATGCACTCTCCAAGTGAAGACCACATAAATGCAGTTCTTCAGATACTTAGATATTTGAAGTCTGCACCTGGAAAAGGACTTATGTTCTCAAAGCATGGTCATCTAAATATTGATGGTTATTCAAATGCAAATTGGGCAAGTAATATAACAGATAGAAAATCCACATCGGGTTACTTCACATTCGTGGGAGGTAATTTGGTGACATGGAGGAGTAAGAAACAAAATGTAGTAGCTTTATCCAGTGCAGAAGCTGAGTTCAGAGGCATGACTAAATGGATTTGTGAACTTCTTTGGTTAAGAAAGTTGCTTACTGAACTTGAGTATAAACCTACATCTACAATGAATCTCTTTTGTGACAACAAGGCTACTATAACCATTGCACAGAATCCAGTTCAGCATGATCGTACTAAACATGTTAAGGTAGATCGACACTTCATCAAACAGAAGCTTGAGGCTAAAGTGTTTCAGTTTCCTTTTGTGAAATCCGAGGATCAATTGACGGATATTTTGATAAAGACGATTTCCAGTAAAGCATTCCACAATTCACTGGATCAATTGGGCATTGGCGACATCTATGCACCAATGTGAGGGGGAGTGTTGGCGTGACTTGTGGATATTGACTTACTTTCCTTACACACCAAGGATTCCTATTTTATTTGTAATTGATTTACTTTATCCTGATTTCCTACTGTAAATAGATTTAGGAATTTATTATTTATTTGCCCATTCAGGTTTTGTTGTATTATAAATATGACCTCCTACAAGGAGAAGAATACAGAAAATTCCTACAAACAAATATTCTCTCATAGTTTTCATATTTTAGCACCAAGTTCTTCACCCGCTGTAACCCACAAATTTATCTCTATGGAGGTGACGGCTGGGTTCGTCGTCGAAGGTGGTGGGCCATGTTTTTGGGGGAGAGAAAGAGAGAGAGAGAGAGAGAGAGAGAGAGAGAGCCAACGGTGGTGGTTGGTTGGTGGTCTGGTGTTGCGTGGGTTGGGGGTGGGTAGATATGGTGGGTATTGGTAAGGATGGAGTATGAGGTAGTTCTTTTATTATTATTATTTTAAATTATTTAAGTTTATGTTATTTTAATCATTTATATATTTAATTTTAAAATTTTAAATTAATTTAAAAAAATAGAGAGTGTTTTTATTTATTTTTTAATTCACATGGTATCCATATCAGCAAAAAAAAAAAAAAAAAACCACATCAGAGCAGCCATGTAAGCACTTAACGCCTCCACTAATGATCTGACTAACGGAGTGACTAATTTGTATATTTTACAAAAGGCCTGGTATTCCTATTAAAAATTTAAAAGGTTTGGTGCTAATTTAAAACAACCCCTAAAAATTGGGTACTTTATGTAGTTAACGTTTCTTTCTTTCTACCCAATTTTGTAATAGGAAGACATGATGATTGCCACTTGAGATATCTGAAGAATAACAATTGGAAAAGAATTCTTCCACTCACCACTAACAGATAAGTGGTGGTGAGAAAACCCCTTTGGGTTTGAATTATTCTTCTTCAATGCCAAAATAATATAAAAATCAACAGCCAGATATTTGATTATTTTTGTCTCTTTGTCAATCAATATCCTTGAATGACTCTCAGCTGTTCTTTTTGAGAATTGGAATTGGGATGAGCCAAAAACCATTGAACCCAAGCAAAATGCCCTAATCCTCATGATTATTCTCCCACAAATTCTTGATGAGTGAAGATAATGCAAATAAAGAGCCACTAAAGTTTATAGGGCATTTGAATCAAAAGCATTAATAAGTACAATGAATGAACGTTTTGTTTTGGCTTCTAATAAATTTCATGGATTTGGAATGGAATAGGTAGAGTTGTAATTATTTGGATGAGGCTTAATGTGACAGGACCCGATCCAAATTCACTTTGGAATCCGAGCCGAACACTATGTGTGTCCGACACTTGGCAGGTGCTGGGCACAAATGACCAAATTGCCCCTCAATTCAAAATTCAATTTCTTTCAAGTTTGACTTCTGCCAAAAATTCGGCAAAGTCTCCCTTGTAAATTGAACATTTCTCCAAAATTTCCACCTGTCAAACAAGCACATACAGATATAACCCAACTATTCAGCACACATTAAATTATATTCAAGCAATCAAGCATCATATTATTCTGGCCTCAGACCTCAACAAATCAAATATATCATTTTGCTATATCGCCCTAACAACCTCTCCCAATTTCTTGATAAGTACAAACCTTGATGAGCGTGATTTGTTAGTCCTAATTATTCGTTGATGACCCCTTTAGCGGTGATTTGGAAATTAAAAAAGTAAATATATATCAATCTATGTCCGTTGTAATTACAAAATCAACTATGTACGCATGGTGGACCAAGAGCATGTGATTTTATAGAAATATATAATATAAATAGACATAAAGATATATAACGGGGAAAAAAATTAAGATAAAGATAGTGACAACTGGAACCTTGTCTACTTCTGCATGAAGGCCTTCAAAGGAGAATATATGGTTGACTTTGTGAACCGGAGCCGCCCCCATGCAAACAACCAAAGACTTTGTCAATGCCTCTTCTGGTTGGCTCATAATTTGATTGAATTCCTCTCTCCGCGTTCAATTATTTATTTGACCACCCTACACTATAAATACTTAGACACAAAACACTTCCAGTCTCATACTCCTCTTTAGCTCTCTCTCTCTCTCTCTCTCTCTCTCTCTCTCATTATCCTTTCTAACCCTGATTTAGCAAAACCAAGATCAAAATAACCACCAAAAATGTTCCACAAGTACTGTTCCTCCATTTCATTGTTTATGTACTTTGTTTTGGTTGGCTTGGCTACCACCTTGCATATGGTGCAAGGCCAAGTTACTACGCGCGTTGGGTTCTATTCACGTACATGTCCAAGGGCAGAGTTGATTGTCAAGCAGACAGTCGAAGCTCATTTTAACTCCAATCCTTCCATTGCTCCTGGGTTACTAAGGATGCACTTTCATGACTGCTTTGTCCAGGGTTGTGATGCATCTGTTCTTCTTAACGGCGCAAACACTGAGAAAACCGCCGGGCCTAACCTCGGTTTAAGAGGTTGGGAAGTCATCAACGATGCAAAGACTAAGCTTGAAACTGCGTGCCCCGGGGTGGTTTCCTGTGCAGATATTCTCGCCCTTGCTGCCCGGGATTCTGTGGTTCTCGTAAGTAAATATATACATGCATGCTTATATATCTAGTTAATTAATTAATAACCATGCGCTAATGAAATATTTTGACTTGTCGCAGACCAAAGGATTCAGTTGGAATGTGCCTACTGGAAGAAGAGATGGAAAGGTTTCACTGGCATCTGAGACTTCAAATTTGCCTGGCTTTAGAGACTCCGTTGATGTGCAAAAGGCCAAATTCCAAGCATTGGGTCTCAACACTCAAGATCTTGTCACGCTTGTTGGTAAGCATGCACTAATTCATTACTAATTAATAGAATCAAATCAAGGATGTCATGCATCGGTGCTTTTGTATTTCCATTTCCAACTTTCTTTTGTTTTGTCACCAGGTGGACACACCATTGGCACTTCAGCTTGCCAATTCTTTAGGTACAGACTATACAACTTCACCACAACTGGAAATGGCGCTGACCCAACCATCAACCCTCTCTTCCTTTCTCAACTGCAATCACTTTGCCCTCAAAATGGTGACGCAGCCAGGCATGTTGATCTGGACGCAGGCAGCGGAAATCAATTTGATGCAACTTTCTTTAGAAATTTGCAGAATGGTCGCGGGATACTTGAGTCGGATCAGAAGTTATGGACCGATGCCTCCACTAAAAGTTTCGTGCAACGCTTTTTGGGTGTGAGAGGATTGCAAGCATTGAATTTCAACCTAGAGTTTGGAAGGTCCATGGTGAAGATGAGTAATATCGGCATAAAGTCTGCCACAAATGGTGAAATTCGCCGCATTTGTTCTGCAATTAACTGACCATGGAGATTTATTAACTTATTAATTGAGATTTATTTATTTGTTGGCACAATTAAGCCACTTTCCATTTGTCTTCTGTGTTTCAAAGGGAAAACTACTTTGAGCTCATTCTTTTGTGCAAGTTAATTTGTGTCTAATTAAAAGCCATATATTCCCAATTATGAGACTTTCATATATCTTCTTGGTTCTCTAGATTATCTGTATATATTACAAGTTTTTTGATGTGTATGTAAATCCCAAAATAAAATAAAGATCAAAATATAAAAAGTCATTTTTACAAATAAATAAAAATTCCCAAAAGGCGCGAACGTAAAAGTAAATAAATAAATAAAATCCTTGCAGTATAGCTAGTTGGTTAAAAATTAAACAAAGTTGAGACATGCAAATCCTAGTAAGTAAGCAAATCAAAGAATAAAGCACTTAAGGCATCAAATTCCCCTACCACAGATAAATTTTTTATCAACCAATTACATATTTATAAGAGTAACAAATATTCAAGAAGTCAAGCATTTACCCCCTCGAGGTCATGTGCTCATATTCTCCTCTATCAATATCGCTTATATCAGAAAATTTAGCATTCAAACAAAAAATAAAATATTTGTAGTAAAGATTCTTCTTTACTTAAAAATTACAAGCCATCTATGGAACAAAAACAATGAAAATACATATATTTGCATGCTAGAATAACAAACCAAGCATATACCAACATACCACAAGTAATTATTATTTTGTTATTTTTAATAAGTCGTATTGGTGTTAAAGTAATTTGAACATAATATACGGGGGAGCAGAGCAGGGGCCGAGGACATTACTTATAAGAATACATTTTCCACCATTTCTTGTTACCAACCTAATTAATTGGAATATATTATTATCCAAGAAAATCCTAATCATTTCATGGTGACCCCACTTTATCTTATACGACGGTGATTAATTAAAGAAATAATTAGGTGCTGAGCTGAGTGCGGACCAAAAGAAAGAAAAGTGATCAGTGGTTGACAACGACTTGCTCAAAAAGGCACCCAGTTGACTAAGAACATGAATTTATTTATTTTATTTTTGCATGGTTGACAAAAGACCACGTGATTATAAAGAAAATGTATGCATGCAAAACGACAGGAAAATAATGTTAAAGCGAAAAGTAATATGTACCAGATGAATTGAATTTTGATTTTCTCCTCTTCTGGCTGGCTGGCCTATTTTCATGGCCGTCTTTGTTTACCGTCTGATCATGGATATCAGATCTCTCCGCGTTTAAATGATTGACCAGCCAGCTCTATAAATATACCTGGAGTGGAGACTCTTTCGATTCTCATACTCTCATACTCTTTTCTCTTACTCTATCTACCTATATCTTCAATCTTCAATCTCAATCTTGAATCTTGATCAGAGCACCAAAATTATGTACCGCAAAAACTGCTTTTCGTCTTCAATTGTATCATTAAGTGTGTACTTTGTTTTGTTGATTGTGCAAGGGCAAGGCCAAGCCGGGTTCTATTCACGTACATGTCCAAGAGCAGAGTTGATTGTCAAGCAAACAGTCGAAGATCATTTTAACTCCAATCCTTCCGTTGCTCCTGGCTTACTAAGGATGCATTTTCATGACTGCTTTGTCCAGGGTTGTGATGCTTCCATCCTTCTAGACGGAGCAAACACTGAGAAAACAGCCGCACCTAACCGCGGTTTAAGAGGTTGGGAAGTCATCGACGATGCAAAGACTAAGCTTGAAGCTGCATGCCCCGGGGTGGTTTCCTGTGCGGATATTCTTGCTCTTGCTGCTCGTGATTCTGTGGTTCTCGTAAGTAAATATATATACATGCATGCATGCTTATGTATCTAGTTATTAATAACCATGTGCTAATTAAAAATTACTTTGACTTCTTGTTGCAGACCAAGGGATTCAGTTGGAATGTGCCTACAGGAAGAAGAGATGGAAGGGTTTCATCGGCATCTGAGACTTCCAATTTGCCTGGCTTTAGAGACTCCGTTGATGTACAAAAAGCCAAATTCCAAGCATTGGGTCTCAACACTCAAGATCTTGTCACGCTTGTTGGTAAGCAGGCACTAATTCATATCACTAATAAATAGAATCAAATCAAGGATATCATGCATCGTTGGTTTTGTATTTCCATTTCCAACTAACTTTCTTTATTCGTTTGTCACCAGGTGGACACACCATTGGCACTTCAGCTTGCCAATTCTTTAGGTACAGATTGTACAACTTCACTACAACTGGAAATGGCGCTGACCCAACCATCAACCCTCTCTTCCTTTCTCAACTGCAATCACTTTGCCCTCAAAATGGCGACGCTACCAGGCGTGTTGATCTGGACGTGGGCAGCGCAAATCAGTTTGATGCAACTTTCTTTAGAAATTTGCAGAATGGTCGCGGGATACTTGAGTCGGATCAGAAGTTATGGACCGATGCCTCCACTAAAAGTTTTGTTCAACGCTTTTTGGGTGTGAGAGGATTGCAAGCATTGAATTTCAACGTAGAGTTCGGAAGGTCCATGGTGAAGATGAGTAATATCGGCGTCAAGTCTTCCACAAATGGTGAAATTCGCCGCATTTGTTCTGCAATTAACTGAGCAACGAGATTTATCAACTTAATTATTATTTATTATTTATTTGTTGGCACAATAAAGCCAGTCTCCATTCTTTTCTGTGTTCAAAGGGAAAACCACTTTGAGCTCATTCTTTGTTTGTGTAAGCTTATATAAGACTTTTATTAGCATCAAAACGAGCTAATTGGTTAGCCAAAAACCTAATATCAAATGAAGTACTCTGATTATTGATGTGCCATTTGAAATGATAGAGGGAACTCATGTTAATATAATGTATTGAGATTTGGGTTCTCACCTTTTCTTTTTCCCTATGATATTGGTCATCAATTAGAAGAATTGGAGGTGGGGGTCTTATTAGAGACAGAATAGGTAGGTGTATATATGGCAGGATGGCTTTGGAGGTGGGTCTTCCCCATCCCCAACAAACCGAGAATTTATAATAGTAGTAATAGTGATAACAACATCAATAATGATAATATTAGTAATATTAAAATTAAAAACATAAAAACTAATACTAGACAATAATAGATAACAACATAAAATTGTTTATGTATTTATTATCTGAAAAGAAAAAATGCATGTTTTTAACATTTTCAAAGTAGATTTTGTTTTTTCAAAGTAAAATTAAATGTTTTGAAGAGCCAAAATCAACTTATTAAGGTTGCACATTTGATGAATGAGTTTGAAAAGGTTGTTGGAGAGATTTTTTATGATGTGGCTCACTTATTTGAGTATCCCAAAGTTGTTGAAGAGGCTATTGGAGATGCTCTAATCCTACACATTTAAGTTCTTTTATTTTCAATTTTACACAATATTAAATGGGTATAGTATAAAAGAAAAATTAACTAAAAAAGAGAGGAGACCTCGTTGAGAGCAATTATATACTCCTTTTTTAAGTGTAATTTATTCTTGTAACTCAAGTAGTAAAGAGCATTTATCTTTGCACTTGACGTCATATCACTTGTATAAAACAATACAAAAAGGAGCAATTTACCCTATATGTTTATGAGTGCATGATGAATTTTTAAGAGTATCAATAGCATCTCTAAAACAGGAAAGAAAAAAACTGACTAATAGCATGAGAAGAGCGTTGGCTATTGTTTGTAGTAAAAAGTGGGTGCGTTTTATTGGTAGCTCAGTACGATTAATACTGAGAGGCACTTTCGAAGAAGGCATGGTTTATTTACAAAATTGTTGGATAAACTTAGACGTACAGGTATACTTAGACATTTAATGAGTCTAAATAGAATGACTCATTTTAAATTGCAACTTTTTATGTGTATTGAAAAGCCAATTAATACTATTTTTTTTTTCAAAACATAAAAAAGCTTAAATATATCACAGATAATCAAATTTTATGGTATAATAAAAAGTAAATCATATCAATCTCTTCTATAAGATGATATTTATAAGTAATAACTCGAAAACCTAAGCTCTTAATTTCATACTGGATACGGTTGTATGCATTTTTCATTTTCACGTGTATTTGCCATATCATCATCATCCTCGAGCCATGACACTCTATGAGTGGCCATTTAGCATCAGGATCCATGACATCATCATCCAGATAATCATCTTCTTCATTATTTTCGTGCTATTACGCATCATCATTTTCATTTTGGTTGGATTCTGATCATTTGATGTGGCAGGAGAATTGAAGATGATCATGTTGCGGTCTTACTATCAAGATTGGATTCTGATTGGGTTTGAGGTGTAGTGGAGCACTCTCCACCACCTAGCCATCGCCCACCATCCATAAACTTTCTTCTCCGACCAAACAGAAGGGAAAATGATCTCATCACTGTGCCAAAAATTTATCAAGGCACCCATGCCTCCTCCGCGTGTTCATAGCTTCGGCCGCCACACCCCTTCCTCGCCGCGCAACCAGCCACATCTGCTAAACAGAGAGAGAGACTGAGATAGATAGTTAGTGACAGAGAGAGACAAAGACACACAGAGAGAGGGAGATTGACAGAGATCCAACCCCCATCCCCATCTCCAGCCCCAGCCAACCTTCCTCTCTTTAGATCCGACGAGCCTCACTCTAGATTCGACGAGCCTCTCTTTAGATCCGATGATGGCCACTTGAGATATTTGAAGAATTACAATTGGAAAAGAATTCTTCCACTCACCACTAACAGATAAGTGGTGGTGAGAAAACCCTTTTGGGCTTGGATTATTCTTCTTCAATGCCAAAATAAGATAAAAATCAACAGCCATATATTTGATTATTTTTGTCTCTTTGTCAATCAATATCTTTGAATGACTCTCGGCTGTTCCTTTTGAGAATTGGGATTGGGATGAGCAAAAAATCATTGAACCCAAGCAGAATTGCATTTTACCGTTGGTTCCTAATCCTCATGATTATTCTGCCACGTGGACATCAAAAAGCACTTGTCCAGCTTGTTTTTGGATGAATCAACGGTGAATGTTGATTGTCAAAAAGTTAGAAGGATAACTCACAAATTCTTGATGAGTGAAGATGATGCAGATAAAGAGCCATTAAAGTTTATACAAATTTATAAATAAACCCAATCCTAAACATGTATTTATAAAGAGCCTTTTGGGTGTGTTTTGAGTGTGTGTAATGATGGGTTTTGGGTGTGTTTATATGTTTAAATAGTGCTTGGGTTTTTTTATAATTTCAACCCTCATTTTGGGTGTTTTAGTGAAACTCCCTAAAGTTTATGGGGCATTTGAATCAAAAGCATTAATAAATTGAGATATTTAGTAATATACCAATTCTTAGCATTAATATTATAAATAAATCCTACACCATTAAATTTCTATAAATAAACTTAAAAAATGACAGTTGACCTTATTGAATTTAATATTAATTATTAAATTATTTTAATGCCTATTGAGTGTTTTGGATATTTTTATGAGATTTTGGGGTTGAGATTGTTTTAAGAAATTGATGACAGTTTTGTAATTTACAAGAAGTTAAAAGCCTCATTGTTATGTTTTAAATGAGTTTTGGGTGTATTTATAAAGTCCATTTCATATGAGGCATTTTTATAATTTGAGCCCTTATATTTGGTATAATAGTGAATCCCCCTAATAAATTCAATGCATGAACGTTTTGTTTTGGCTTCTAATAAATTCCATGTATTTGGAATGGAATAACTAGAGTCATAATTATTTGGATGAGGCTTAATGTATCTGGATTAACGGGTTAATTAATTTAGGTGCTAGTTTAATGTATGGGATGAGAGATTAAGTTTTTAAATACTTGTATGCTCATATTTCTCAAGGGAGTGGTTGTTGATAATTGAAATTGAAAACAAAGAGAGTGTTCTCTCATCTTTGCTCAAAATCTGGGTATTCTTAGAATTAACGAGTTTGAGTATTTTATCATATCTTTTATGCCAAGTTTCGGGTATTCTTAGACTAAACGGGGCTTGGTGGTTCATGATTTTTGTTTTCCACCATCCTTACTTGAGTGCCGCTGTATCATAAGAGAATGTATCAAATGTAACCATTTGCATGCTTTCCCATTTGTTTAATCATTCTACACTATATTTCCTTCTTCTCCCTTTGTTAAGTCATTCTTTTTTATCCTCCAATTGCCTTTTTCTTCTTCATCTTAGCACTTAACGTGATTCCTCTAAAACTATCATCTGCATCTGTGGATTTCCTACCTGTTATACTTCCTGCCAAATCTGTATTTGTGTAACCATCAATATTCAGATGACCATGTTTTGAGAACATAAGTCCATTTTCGGGTGCAAAAGTTTCTTCATAATCTACACATAAGTTTGTGTGTACCCTTTCGCCACAAGTCTTGCATTGTATCGCTCGATAGATCCATCAGCGTTGTGTTTTATGGTAAACACATATCTACATCCGACAGTGTTTTTTCCTTGTGGTAAAGTTTCCAATGTCCAAATCTGATTCTTCTCAAGAGCTTTCATCCCTTTCTTTATAGCTTGAACCTACTTATGATCTTTAAATTCTTCAGCAACCTTGATTGAGATATGAATAATAGACAACTGATGCACAAAGGCCTTGAGTGGTTCAGACAGCTTCTTAGTATATACATGATTCGCAATTAGATACTTTGATGTCTTACCAATATCAGGTGAATAACGATTTGGTGGCTTTCCATGATTCTGCCTGAAAGGTAATTGGTATCCAATAGATTTATCCTCTAAATTCACAAGTGTAGTAGGAGTAGTTACCTTAAGGATATGCTCAAGAGATTGGTTCATTGGTACTATTGAGTTAGATATGGGTCTTTATCTCGTCGTTATGTATTGTTCGTAAGTGTAAGACTCGAATAAGAAACATATTTGCAGGGATCGAGTCAGGTGATTGATTGATGTGAATGGATGATTGATTGCTCTTCGGCATAGAGCAATCTTATGCTCCAGACTGGGGACGATCGAACATTTCTGTACAGAGGTGAATTTCTTCGTTTTCCAAGTTACTCCAATTATGCTCTTCACTTCATATCTCCCCATGAAGCATAGAATTGGATGATGGGTTATGGAAGAACATCTCAGATTCCAGATATTTCACATCGTCACACCAACACATGCTTGTGTGAAAGTTAAATTAAGTTAACGGGTCGTGTCGGGTCCATTCACGAATATTCATTATCCACCCATTAAGAAGGATAATTTTGTAATTTTGTATCACAATTCATATTAAGAAAACAAAACACCCACGTAACTTCACTTTGTTTTTTATTATTCCTCTTCTCTATCACCGAATCTCCCTGTCTTCACTTTGTTTTTTTTATTCCTCTCTATCTTTTTCCTATTCTTGTTTTCTTCTTCTTTCCTTGGCATAGTTTTCTTCTTCTTTCCTGGCACTATTGTTTTTTTCTTCTTGCTATTTCCCAAGTTTTCGTCTTCTTTATTTATATTTATTTCTCTCTTCTCTCTATGCTTCCTTCTCATGAGTACATTTTCTTCTCTATCTTTTTAGAATCCAAATTTCTTTTCTTTAGATGTAAAAGTTGAAAGAACCAGTGAAGAAGTCTTCACTGTCCATCCATGTGGGTTGGGGTTTTGAGTGGTGGTTATGGTGTTTATGAGATGGATATTTGGGGGAGAGGACAGAGATAAGGGGTCGATGGCTAACCTAGGGTAGGGACTTTTGCTTCTGTTGACTGAAACGTTCGAAGGCCTTGACCTTGACTTAGGGTAGTTCAATAATTTCGAGTTTTTTTTGCTTTAGAAAGATTAGTCTTGTCTTTGTTTATGTCTCCGGTTGGAACAAATTACTATAATTCGTCATTCATCTGCTGCTCTGTTAGAATTCTTAGTTTGTATATGTATTTTCAGATTAGGAAGAGGTGTATTTTCTGTAGATTTTAGCTAGAGAGAATGAAGAGAAATGGGGAAGGCACTGTTCTATTGAATTCTTACAATCTGCAGCTTACATAGTGTGTCTGACAGAGAGAGAAATGTGATTCTCTTCTAACAGAATTACAACTGTCACCCTATTAGGTGCTTACACGTGTCATACCAAATCTAAGCTAGAGAATCCACCTAGACTATGATCTAATGGTTCTCATTACATCATTTAAAATAGACAGAACAGAAAATAGAAAATGACTTCTGCTCTAAGAAATCAGGCAGAACAGGATTATATTTCAACA